TATCCATCCATACATCTATCCACCCATTCAGCCATCTATCTATCCTACCGTACCCTACCCGTTACACACACACACACAATGTTACACATATACACCAACTATTCTTAGTTGTACTATGCAACACAGCAGGATTAAATAAATCATCTGACAATAAAAAAAAGTTACACTTAAAATACACTTAATCATTTTGTAAGTTTTATTTCTTCACACAATAAACGAAAAACAAGAGAAAAAAAAAGAGAAAAAGACAAACATTGTCTAAGCGATCAAAAACTCAAGTGCTTTATTTATTTATTTTTTTTCTTTTTTTATTGATAATCATTTTGTTACTTTGACTACTATCACTACTACTGCTAGTAGTAGTAGTGGCGGTGGTGGTGGTAGTACGAATTGTAAAACAATAATAATCATCATATCTCATAATGAAAGTATTGTAGACAATATTGAAGAAACTAAATCTACTAAATCTTTGCATAGAAGGCTATATATATATATATATATCGAGGCCATATACACAATATGCACATATACCAATAAAAGACTGATCAATTGCAGTGCTAAACATCAATGAGAAGATACAAACAAACCATACCAAGTGAATTTAAATCTATATTGTTGTATATGATTTGTAAAGAAAGATAACTGTTGTACAATATCACTTCATAATTGAATAGTATTATCTAATATTGTTCTTATTTTAATGAATATAAACAACAAAAAGGAGGGGGTGGGGTAATGAAATAAGGAAGAAATTTGAATGCCACCCGCTGTTGATAAAACTATATGATGAAGAAAAAAAATTCAAGTTAGAAAACTCTGTTATATTAAATTCACTGTGTATTGTTTTACTTGTATCTTCTTCATTGTTGTTTAGGATTGCGATTGATTAGTCTTTTATTGACATATATGTATCCTGTTTGGATTGCCTTGATAGATTGCCTTAAGTCATAAGCTTTCTAAGTAAAGATGGATAGTGACTAGTAGGGGAATCCAGGTTTTCAAATAAATATGTGTATACTATTAGTAGTTAACAACTGTTTTTGGTTTAGTTGCCAGATAATAAAATTCGTAAACGCACAAATTATCTGTAATGAAATGATCAATGTTGATTGAATTTAAGCAATCAAATTAAATGGGTGTTTACTGACTAGGTCTAAACTAAAACAAACATCACCAACGATAGTAGATAATGACTGTAGAATTTTGTGAATTAATTAAAGTTAGAAATATTAACTACTGAATAGTAGATCAGGCCTAAATGTCCTAAGATTAAGTCTTTCTGGAGTCTTGAGTGGACACTACTGAACGGGCCCATTCTAATGCGAAACAAATGTTCAGTCTTAATACATTTTTGTATTATCTGTGTTGAATCTTCTAATTGATGTTTAGGACTACAATTGATCAGTCTATTATTGGCATATGTGCATCCAGCTGACAAGTTCCAAATAGGACAAAACGTGCGTCCTGGATTCCACTATTAGCCATCATCCATCTTTGCTTAACATCTTTAGTCCTTTTTGATTTCCAATGGTTATCTAACGAAAGTTAGTCACTGATTTAAAGCTATGGTTGAAAATGTTTTTAATTGTGTTAGTGCTATGATTAAACAAATATTATAATTTTCTTTTTGATTGAGATCATGAATGGATGAATGTTAAGCCACCATTGAAAACCTGGAAGCACTGGACAGTAGTCTCGTCCTAGTGTGGGACAGCTCAGTAGTACGCATTCACGATCTTGTACACAGGATTCAAACCTAGGACCTTCGGTCTCGTTCACGAACGCTTCACCCCTAAAGCACTAAACCGGTATCTAGTGATGATAATATCTAACTTCGTTGATGAGTTTATTGAAATCAGTCGGGGTTTAATGTCATTTAGGGAGGTATTAAAACCAGGAAGCATTAGATAGTAGTTTAGTTGTCTTATGAGGGACTCCCTATCGGTATACAACTATCACATCATTGGATACCAAATCTATGACTTTCAGGTCTAGAAGCGAATCCTTAAATATTTGAACTGCTTGATTAATATCCGTGAATTTATCCCTGTACTTATCTAATAGTATAACGTCACGATTATACAATAATATCATTGAAGACTTTTCCACCGCCTATGTGTTCACGTTAAAGAATAAATTGAGTAAAATTCTTACATAATAGTACATGTATGCTACCTGTAACCTAAACAAGATGTTAATTATAACTTCAGAAAGTATCTTGCTAACACGTTCGTTATTCAAATCCAATCTAGTCATTGACTATGAAATTAAGTTTGACGTTTTTTTCAACTTACATCTCATGTTACTCATTAGTAAACTAATCATATAAATACAGTTTTGTTCTGAAGGTATCACGTTCTAAAGAACTGCAAAATAATCTCGTAACTGTGATCAATATGAGAAAAATATTTTTCATTCAACGCCATAACACCCTCTTTATAGAATCTAGTTTTCAGAGCAGACTGACAACAGATATAGAACCTTCGGTGATCAAGGTAGCATTGGGCAGTTGTTTTATTTTATTCTGTGACTGTCTAACAGTAAGTAATCATGATTTGAATCTGGATAATACTTAGAACCTTCAGTTCTTACGGTTAGACCTAAGAGTGTGTTAATTAATTTACAACAAACCATTCTGTATTTTTATCAATTCCATGCTGATTGCCTGGAAGCCCTGAACGGCTTTTTCATCCCGGGATGGGGCTCCTCAGCAACGCGTATCTAGAACTCCGCATAAACAATGCCTACTTTCGTCTGTGAATATTAATAAAATTTAAACAACACATTTTTAGTTTGTCGTAAAACGTTTATTTTCTCAATGATTATAATTTACTTATATTAGTTATTTGAATCTTCCCGTTGATACTTAAGACTGTGATTCATCAGTTTGCAATTTTCTTTGCCCTGGATATGTACAGTCTACTTGCATACTAGTTAACACGCGAACTTTTGTCCGAGTATCATTTGACATACATGCAGGTATATATATCCTGTGAGCAAATATACGTTACATGCTCATCGGTAACACAAAGGCTTTACCCCATGCATTCCATAGTCTACACATACGTATATTCACCCACCTAGGAGGGTAGTTATTCAGCACTCCCAAAGAAAACGTATTTGCTGCGCCAGGCTGACTTGCACATTATATACATGTCATTTACACCATGGCTACCGCCTCAGTATTTCCTGACACACATATAAGTATAAACGCTCTCTCAGAGGGCGTTATTGGTCGCCTTACCCTAGTATTTGTTACTACCTCTTTTTGTTATGTCTTCAGCCCAATAGATAGGCCGCTGATTTCATTATACATGGAGCAGATATTTTTGTAACTCATTGTCTCCTTTTTACAACACCTCATGCATACCCGCTGCATATACCTATATACTTGAAACAACATGGGTCCAAGAACTTCTGTAATTCTCACACATTGGGTAGCCCTAGGGATAAAGTTAGCCCCGAATGTAAGACCCACGATTGATCAGGTATAACAGAGTGAGTGATCAGTCCAATCTCTGTGACGGCTTAAATTGGTTAGCGGTGTTTCCCCCTTTGTCCAGGAGCTCCACGATGAAGTCTTAGGTCTAATCTTTTTTTAAATAGACCAATAACTTTTTGGTACATTTATTTATTTGAACACATAAATATTGGTAAAAAGGGGCACCGAATACATATGCTGCCACATAAATCACTCGATTTGTGTGAGGGCTGGGGTAATACCCGGTTGCCCAAACCAAAGCAGTGGTTTTCTTAGGTGGCCGCACCCGGAGCCTTCAACATAAAGGTCTAATCTAAAAGGCATTAGGGCAACGTAAGGAGTTGCAATCACATGGTAGCCGGTCACAAACGATTGGTTCATACGCCATCCTGGGACCAATGTACACCAGTGGTTTGGAATCAAGGATTTCCAACTTCCCTAGATGAACCCTCCATTTCCACCAACCCGATTAAATCACTGGACATTCGCTTGCCGTCTTCTCAATTTCGTAAACAACAGTAATGTCACAAGAAGGTAATGAGTAGAACTTTCCTGTTAGTGGCTATATACGCATGGCCATCTGATAGCATTTTGAGTGAGAGAATGGACTCTCCCCACCCTCGGCCGTACCATAACATTTGAGGGCTCTAAATGGTGCAATTTCATTTAATATATAAAATTTGTAATGTCTAAATTAAGTCCATCATTATTTATGTATTCTTTATTATTATTATTTTCCATATAATTTATCTTTTATCATTCTTGTCTTATATATAATTCTATCGCTTATTGGCCTATTAAATTAATCTCATTTACTTTCTATCACTTTTTTTTGTAGACATAGGAAATCATCATAATCTTCCCTGTGAAATGTTTCTCTGTCTCCCTCTCTCTCTCTCTCTTTTTATCATTATTGATAATCATTCTATTTCATCGATGTAAATCATTGATAAAAGATAAATTAACCAATCAGTAATAAGGGCGTAGCATGATTGAGTAAAATATAGAATGTAACCTATAGAAATTCAATGGGTACGCTTTGTTTACTTCTAAATTATTGTTAGAATGTAAATGTGTTGGCAATTGTGTATAATATGGGTGTTAGTGTTAGAAAGACATAAACTAATATAAGGGTAATATATATATATATATACACACACGCACGTACGCACGCACACAAACAAGCATGAACATACATGAAACTACACTATTAATAAATGTGTATAGGAGGAAAAAAAAAGAGGAAGATTTTGTATGGTAGTAGATAAAGATAAAGACAAACAAGAAAATAGATGAAGAGAGTTGGTTAAGATTCTTTAATATTTATGTCCACATTGATTCTCTAATAAAAATATTATTCTTACGATTAATTTTTTTTTCAAATTTTCTAGGTGGTGGTTGTTCTACTCTATGCTGATTGGTTGTGATTTTTTGGGCGACATTCCTAGAATCTAGTTCATGATGAAATGTATCCAATACAATACGGATAGAAGAATATCATCACATACCTACACACATACATACATACATACATACATACAAGGATACATATACACATACATGTACAACGATAGATATTCATGCCTATATACACAAGCCAATATCCTATATCTTTAAGAGTTTCATATCCTAATTAACTTTTAAACTTTATATTCTTCATTGAAACACATCTAATTAGTTTCATTGAATAGAATGATTACTTGTCTTTTATCATAATAGATCTAAATTAATCATTGGAATCTTGAAAATAACAAATTATACTTTATATAATTTGTAGTACTTTTCTGTATACTAAATAAACAAATTACATGATACTTTCATGAATCCAAGAAAAAGACAATTACACATTCCTTTGTGACCAATAATAGTAGCACATATCTCTATCCACATTAAATTATTCAATGATAATCGTAATGGAACTTAACATTGCAACTATTTGCCAAGTTTATGAACATTGAATTTAACACATTATTATTTAATTGAAATTGAAATAAGACAAAAACAGATTTGTATTGAATTGGTCTTTCAAATTCATATAAACATATATATATCGTACTACATAAACATCCATGTAAGTTTACTATTACTGTTATTATTATTAATGGGTTTATATTCAGTATTATATTTTGGGCATAATATAGAACTCTCAGCATAGAGTATTTCAACAAGTTCCCTTTTTTTATTAATTCTTGATCAATCTTGACAATGGTGGATGTACCGTTCAATTTCGTGGATTAGTTAAAATTAGACATTAAAACCGTTGGATGCCGGCTCAGTGGTCTAGTGGTCAAATGCTCGCACGCGAAACCAGTAGGTCCTGGGTTCGAATCCTGCAAGGGGGTGAGGTCGTGCATGCGCACTGCTGAGGAGTCCAACAATAGGACGAAACGGCCGTCCAGTACTTACAGGTTTTCCATGGTGGTTTAGCTTCAACTGACTCATGATCTTAACCATTGAAATTACTATAATATCCACAAGACCCATCTGATATTAATATATATATATATATATATATATAATGAACGATCACCAATTAGACGTTAGCCGTTCAAAAGTTGACATCTGAACAATATTCATTCATTTCAATACAAATTACCACAATCCATCACAATGTTTTCGATTATACAATTTTGTAACTTGTACAATGAAAGATTGTAAACCTTTCATAAACTCACTTGAATAGATCATGGTATTAATAATCTTGATGATCAATCCATTGCATTGAAGGCATTCAATGAATTCTTGAAGTATGACACAAAGTTCATCAAAATAAAAAAAAACATCATTAGAGTTCACGAATCCATATCTAAATAATGTACATTCTTTTCATTGTTACACATTACTAACAATTACAATATCTTTGATTGGATCTTTTTATAAGTTGTAAACTTACAAAAAAAATAGATAATTTGTTGAAATATCTAGACTGAAGGAACAGTTAAATCAGATATTCAAGCAGACCATCTTTAATAATTCTATGTCTTGTGTTATAAATAAGAACTTTCGTCTAAATTTGAACGAATAGTTTCACAGTATTTGGGCGCCGAGTTAATATGAGACATTAAAGAGGAAGAATGTATTTGTATTTACACACTAATGCAAATATCTACTTTAAACATTGTTCACGTTGATTGGATGACTTATTCAGTATACAGCAAACCAGAGAACTATGTACTCATTTATATTTGATGCTTGTGATTGTTGATTATATTTCCTTGAAAAAACTTGGACCAGATTGCCAGGCGAAACATTGGATTTACTTCAAATTCATTCACTGAGATTTTACAAATACATTCTTCCTCTTTCCATGTCTCACATCAACTCGGCGCCCAAATATTGTGAAACTATTCGTTCAAATTTAGACGAAAGTTCTTCTTTATAAATTAATTAATCTTTCAGTGTTGTTTTGAGTAATATTGTCAACTTCAACTTTCAACTTCAAGAATTCATGTTTGTTTCAGTTTACATTAATCTCAAATGAAATGATGATTATTTCTAGTAGTTTTGATGAATTCATAACAATGTCATCTGTAAACTGATTAGTTTATTCCTAAAGTTATCATAGTCTTCTAAGAGAACATATATATCCACAGATCGAAGAAGTATGACGTAATAAGCTCATATAATAATTACTTTATAATAATAGTACAAATGGTTATTGTTAACAAACATATATGTAAGGAAGGGTGTTTTTTGAAGAGTTAAGTCATTGAATAGTTCAATTTATAAGTCAATTAAAGCTAGATCACCATAGAAAACCTGGAAGGACTGAATAGCCGTTTCATCCTAGTATGGGACTTCTCGGCAGTATGTATTCACGGTATTTCTTGAAGTTCTACTGAGAAGCCATGACCAGTGGAGTTCAACCAGGTCTGCTGTAAGATAGTAATTCATTAAAGACAATGATGGATGGTGGGAAAATTTCTTTGATTGATTGAAGTTAGACATTAACAACAATGGTCATTAAATTTTGTTTAACGAAAGGATAAGTAATTTAAATATGTAATAATTAAATATTATTTAATCAATACTTCTAAGTGATTTACAAAGCATAAGATTTATTTGGTGAGCAATATATTTTTCATTGAGAATTTCATTTTAGGCTCTAGACAACATTTTATCAGCATTGTTTTATCCGGAAAGTTGGTATACATTTCAGTAATATGTTAACGCGGGGTAGGGGAGGCACATGTAGGTAACTTTGGATGACTAAACTAAAGTCCCCAGTGGAAACTACACACTTCTATGTGGTACCGATATACTAAGCGGAAAGGAAAGTACATGAACATGTTAGATAATGAGCTCTTATTAAACAACTAGAAAGAATAGTTTTCCCTAACCAATCTAATCATAAGTTAACCTTGTTTTGAATAGGTTTAGATCCAAATATTTGTGGTATGAGAAATATTATATTGTATACTAAAATATGTATCTTTTGCAAAGCAAACTGTTCAGACAAACCTTAAAAAACTTGTCTGTGGAAGTATATTGGTAACTTTAATTAAAGTTGGTAAAGCGGTTAGCAATGAAATTCAAGACACACATTTCGTCTTATTTGGAACATGTTAACTGAATGTACAAGTATTTCAGTGAATAAATCACATTTGGAATGCTTATTTCAGTTTAAAAAATTCTTCTACTATTCCTATGAAGTAGTGAACTAGTAATAAAGTTGTTCTACTTGAAGCTACTACGTAAGTTTGAACCCCATTTCACCCTTATATTTACCTTCATGTAAATCTATATATTCAGATGGGGGTTTTGTGGATATTATTGGTAATTTAATAGTTGAATTCATGAATTAGTTGAAGCTAGACCATCATGGAAAACCTGGAAGCATTGGACGGCCGTTTCTTCCTAGAATAGAACTTCTCAGCAGTGCTCATCTATGACCCTACCTCGCGAGATTCGAACCCAGGACCTATCGGTCTTGTGTGCAAACGTTTAACTTCTAAATCACTCATCAAGGATCTTAGATGCACACTGTACAGGAGTCCCATACTATGACGAAACGGTCGTCCAGTGCTCCCAGTTTTTCCATTGTGGTCTAGCTTCAACTGACTCATGAATTCAACTATTAAAATCTATATATATCAGGTTGAATTTCCGAATATTTGGTTTTTATTTATAAGAATATCAATGAACTAGAGACAGCTATCCGTTGTAGTTTTTCATTTAGTTTTCTTGTGTAAGTCAAACTTTACACCTAACTTTAAATAAGTTAGTCCCATGTCACATTTTGTATATTTGAACGTTAAGTATTTGAATAAGAATGTGTCTGAACATGAATAACTGTATTCACTTATTCATTTACTCATTAGATTCATGTAATAAGTTAGAAAGAAATGTGATATAATATACTACTTATAACTTTTATCAACTATAAACTACTAATTGATAACTGGATTTATGATAAATTTCATAATGTAATATACAGTAAACGAAATATAGTACGGATAACAATAGATGACTGAATGGTATGAGCCACCGGTTTCTAGTTCATTAATCTGAAGGTATTACTTTAATCTGTAATTTTATAATTACTCTATAACTAATAGAGAATAGGCAAAAATTTGTAGCTTAGAATGAGAATATTAAATATACATTGTCCTGTCATTGGATGAAAGGTATAATTGTGAAGCTTTCATTATTCTTCTTTTAGACATCATTACTATTAAGTCATGATAACATAGTTACAATGAAAATTACTCTGAAAATAACTAAATATCTTAAATATTATCAACATAATAATAAGAAAAGATGGTTAGTGGCTAACAGTGAAATCCAGGACGCGCGTTTCATCCTATTTGGGACTCGTCAGCTGAATGTGCCTGCATCCTAGCGTTGATGTTTATTTTACGACTCTAACGCAATACCGTTCGTTTCAAACGCCATCATTTTATTAACTTAGCTATTGAGTCCTGATAGCTACTTTCTTGTGCGATCAACACAGTTTAACTTGAAAAACTTTCACATCATTTTATGAAGTTTCTCTTATCATTTACAACATTGAAATTAATACAAAATTCCTATCGGTAGTTAATTAATTTGAAATTACATTATATTGTAATAATGAAATGTGTATGTAAATTTAATTCACTCATTTTCTAATGTACTAAATACATTGTTATTGTTAATGTATGTTGATATCAGTATAGTTCCTAAAATGCTCTGGTATGAGTGAGAGTGAAGAAAGTCAGTTCACTCTCTCAAAATGTTTCAAACCAATAGTACACATGAACCACAAGATTCTAAAGGAACAAATGGCATATTAACCTATTGTTGGTCACCGGCTACTATGGGACTACTTCTACTGCCTTATGGATTAGACCTTTAAGTCAAAGGCTCGGGATGTGGCCTCCTAACAAAATCACCTATTTCGGTTTGGAAACCTGGGGCAAATCCCAGCTCTCATACAAGTCGAATGATTTATGTGACGCATATCTATTTGGTGCCTCTTCGTACCAATGTTTATAGTAATAATAATATCAGTGTAATTTCATTTTATTATGTTTAGTTAAATACCGTATACGTCAATAGATAATCATCATATAAAGGTCAAATATGGAGAATTCCTTAAGAAATTTCTATACATACAAAGTGTCAACTAAACTTGAAATGAATATATATTGTATTATTCACTTGGTATTGTTTACTTGAATCTTCCCATTGACCTAACTATCATAACTTAGTAGTTAAATGGATAACCTGATAGCGTTTGAAGCGAACGGTATTGAGTTCAAGTCTCAGAGTGAACATCAACTCTAAGATACAGCTATATCCAGCTGACGAGTCTGAAATAGGACGAAACGCGTATCTTGGATTCCACTGTTAGCCACTATCCATATTGTATTATTATTATTATTATTATTATTAATATTACCACTATTACTAGCTTGTTCCATATTGGGGCAAATCCATTTATTAATTCATGTAAATCTAAACATTAAATAAACAAACAAAGTAAATTCATGATCCATTCGAAAACAAACAAAAAAAATACCAAGTTGACTTTTCATTATAATAACAAACACTAGAATTCATTTCTACTTTAATCACTATTAGAATTAA